CACACACACACACACACACACACACACACACACACTCACACTCACACACACGCGCACACTCTCTCTCTCTCTCTCACACACACACACGGGTTTGATGATTAGTGATGGTATAGTGAAACTCACAGTCAGGGTTTTGTAAACGGTTGCCAGGGCATTGATATGCAGTTGCTAGGGTGTTCTGGATGATTGCTTAAAGAAAAATACAGACACACATTAAGAAATGCTTTTGTAGAATGTGCAAAAAGCAAACAGTATTAGACAGATATAACAAATTATAATATAATATTTATTATATATATTTATATATTTAACACACACACACACACAGTAGACATTTAAAAAAATGCTTTTTGTAGAAAATAAAGTGCAATAAACAGTATTATACAAGTGAAATAACAGAGTAATAACATCATATTATATTTTATTAAAGTTTCTACACTAGTCAACATTTGAAGTGGATCCAAAAAAAGTTAATAAAAGTTCTCAAGACAACAACACATTTTGGTTTTAGGACAACTTTAATGAAAGGTTTTGATCCACTTCAAATGTTGACTAGTGTAGAAACTTTAATAAAATATCATATAATATATCATCTATTAGCGCATATATATATATAAAGTCAGAAACATTAACTTCTATTATATATGTGAACCTGGAGCACAAAACCAGTCATACGGGTCAATTTTTTTAAATTGAGATTTATGCATCATCTGAAAGCTGAATAAATAATATTTCCATTGATGTAAGGTTTGTTAGGATCGGACAATATTTGTATTATATTTAGGATTGATTTTAAAGTACTTTTACTCGTTTATAAGTCACTCAATGGCCTAGGACCTAAATACATAGCAGATATGTTCACTGAATATAAACCTAACAGACCACTCAGATCATTAGGATTAGTCAGTTAGAAATACCAAGGGTTCACCCAAAACAAGGGGAGTCTGCTTTTAGTTATTATGGCGCCCGCAGTTGGAATCAGCTTCCAGAAGAGATCAGATGTGCTAAAACATTAGTCACATTTAAATGCAGACTCAAAACTCATCTGTTTAGCTGTGCATTCATTGAATGAGCACTGTGCGATGTCCGAACTGGTTGCACTATATTCTATGTATAATCGTTTTCTTAAATTCATTTTAAACTTCTTAAATCAATTGTTTTAATCATTTTCAATGTTTTTAAATTCCTTGTTTTATTGTTGTGATTATTTTTTTTTCTTTTCTTTTATGTAAAGCACTTTGAATTACCATTGTGTATGAAATGTGCTATACAAATAAACTTGCCTTGCCTTGCCTTGCCTTGCCTAATGATTTTTGGCATAAAAGAAAAATGGATCATTTTGACCCATACAATGTATTGTTGGCTATTGCTACAAATATACCTGTGCTGCTTAAGACTGCTTTTGTGCTCCAGGCTCACATATAAACATTTGTATTTGAAAATTATATTTACTAGTAATAATTTTATATATGCACTTGAAAACTTTATTTATTTTATTAGTCATTTTATCCCATCCACAATGAATTAACCTAAGCTTTTTCTCTCTGCCACATTTGGTTTCAAAGAATATGTTTAACCAAGCTCTTGTTACCCAGAATTCCACAGGGGCTAAAGCAAGCATGTGACCTGCTGCAGAGCAGAAAGGCTTTAGTTTGCGGCATTAGTCGTGATGTGAGGATTACAAACGACTGGAATGTGTTTATATATATATATATATATATATATATATATGTGTGTGTGTGTTAATCTGCTGTTCTCATGAACAGACCAAAGGATCAGAAATATCTCAATCTTTCCGTTCAAGATAATTCACTGAAATACTGCAAAACTATTAGTACTATCAGCCTGTAGAGTTAAAAACTAAACCGAAGTCATCAAATTAAGTGCTATCACACGTGAACATCTCTTTGGACAAAAGCATCTGTTAAACAAATGAATGTAAACGTAATCTAGTTTTATGTAGTTCTCATTCCACATTTGTTTCCTCACATCAGATGTGTTTAAAGCAGCATTTCTCCTCTCCTCTAGATTCCTAACGCTCCCCCGGCCTACGAGAAGATCGCCTCCAGACCTTCACCTCCTCCTTACTCACCATGAGTCACAAACTTAAGGAAAATCTGTGGATTTCTATAATGTTTGTGGGATGAACGATCACACAGTACAAGTGATGGTATACGGCAGGAGTGGCCACAGTGCTGCAGCATTCAGCTCCAATCTTGATTAAGTCTCACCTGCCTGTAGCTTTCTATTAATCCTTGGACCTTGAGGAGCTTCTTCAGGTGTGTTTGATTAGGGGTTCGAGCTGAACTCTGCAGGACTGTGACTCTCCAGGACCACCTACCAAAGCGTGTGGACTATAACATAACACTGCTGTGCCTTTGAAACACAATGCCATTCATCAGACTTGAGGCTAATAAAGTTTAATATTCATTTAATCCAAAAAAGTGTGTTTAATTCAAAGTATTTAAAAAGAAAATGTCATTAGCACCTAAAACTGGTAAGACGCTCTCAGTTACAGATGCAGTTTTAAGTGTGAAGCATCAGTAGGGTAGATGGAGATTTCACATTAGTTGTTTATTTCTGTTCAAAGTATTTTCTTCTGACCTGTTACTGATGATTTTATTTTAATAATGTATCTTTACCAATCATATCCCTGCTGAAAAATTCAATAGAAACCATCACATAAATTTTGGTGTCTTCTACAAATACCATTACAAACCATCAAATTTTAACCATTAAAATGTTTTTCTTTAGTGTGTTTTGGGACATATTCCATTAGGATTTATTGCTTTTAACAAGTCACCAATAGAACCAGTAGGAACCCACAGGCACCATTATCGTTTCCATTAAAACCAATACAAGTCCCATTATAACCAGTAAAACCATTACAAATTCTGTGATGGTTTCTATTGTTTTTTTTCAGCAGGGATGTCTGCAGTTCTTTTCCAAATGTATGACTGTAAAAGTGAACAAGCATAATGAAACTTATTCACATATTCGTTGAGCTTCAGATACCTGATGCTGGAAATCTCAGACTCATGAGGCAAACTAAGTTTTTATGAAAATGCTGAGCTTCTTATGCAGTGAACGGCATCACTGCATGTAATGTGCTGTTAAATTATATCATAAAATCTCAGGAAATAATCGGACTCAGCTGACAAAAATGTTTGGGAATCTCTTGATATAACATGTTTAACAAACTCAAATGACAAGCACAGTACACCAATGTTTTACTTCAGTCATAAATATGCCAAGTTTATTTTCATGAATATAGATGAAACACAAAATCAAACTGTTATCAGATGATGTCTGATAATACTCAACCTATGCCTGAATGCACTAACGCAGGCTTGAGATCAGCCAGACATACTCTTAAATAGACTGAAGACTGTTCTACAAAAAAAGTGTGTTTAATTCAAAGTATTTAAAAAGAAAATGTCATTAGCACCTAAAACTGGTAAGACGCTCTCAGTTACAGATGCAGTTTTAAGTGTGAAGCATCAGTAGGGTAGATGGAGATTTCACATTAGTTGTTTATTTCTGTTCAAAGTATTTTCTTCTGACCTGTTACTGATGATTTTATTTTAATAATGTATCTTTACCAATCATATCCCTGCTGAAAAATTCAATAGAAACCATCACATAAATTTTGGTGTCTTCTACAAATACCATTACAAACCATCAAATTTTAACCATTAAAATGTTTTTCTTTAGTGTGTTTTGGGACATATTCCATTAGGATTTATTGCTTTTAACAAGTCACCAATAGAACCAGTAGGAACCCACAGGCACCATTATCGTTTCCATTAAAACCAATACAAGTCCCATTATAACCAGTAAAACCATTACAAATTCTGTGATGGTTTCTATTGTTTTTTTTCAGCAGGGATGTCTGCAGTTCTTTTCCAAATGTACGACTGTAAAAGTGAACAAGCATAATGAAACTTATTCACATATTCGTTGAGCTTCAGATACCTGATGCTGGAAATCTCAGACTCATGAGGCAAACTAAGTTTTTATGAAAATGCTGAGCTTCTTATGCAGTGAACGGCATCACTGCATGTAATGTGCTGTTAAATTATATCATAAAATCTCAGGAAATAATCGGACTCAGCTGACAAAAATGTTTGGGAATCTCTTGATATAACATGTTTAACAAACTCAAATGACAAGCACAGTACACCAATGTTTTACTTCAGTCATAAATATGCCAAGTTTATTTTCATGAATATAGATGAAACACAAAATCAAACTGTTATCAGATGATGTCTGATAATACTCAACCTATGCCTGAATGCACTAACGCAGGCTTGAGATCAGCCAGACATACTCTTAAATAGACTGAAGACTGTTCTACAGAATAATATTAATCATTTTAATGGAAAATGCTACAAAACATTCAAACCTTTGCATACAAATGGAGTAGAAAAGAGTCAGCCAAACACTGTTATGTACATTACTGGCCATTTGAAATCTCCAAATTTCTCTTTGCGAAACCATTTTTATTTACAACTAAGGATAACCGATTTCCCCTCAATATGTATTATAAAGAGCAAAATGCGCAAAATATTAATTTAGGTATTTAGTATTCAGCCTATCAACACGGGGAGGAAATGGAACCAAAGGAAGCCCACTTGTTTTCAACAAAGCCCAAAACACTAAACAGACTGTCCTCTGTGATCACAACAGGAAAACAAGACAACCTCCAGAACCATTTCAGTGATTGGGTCTCCCCAAGGTATCTGGTTTTCTCAGTGGATCACTTGTGTTTAAAATAGGTACAGTAACGCTACTTGAGGAGGAACTGACCACTTGAGCGGCCATTGGCTTTGCCAATACTTGCAAGCTTGAGGCTGAAGCTTGAATGATATTTAAGACAGCACCATCTGGGCTCAACAACAGTTTAGCAAGAGTGGGAACTTGTACAGGAACCGTGCTTTGACCTTGCGATGGCTGGGGTAAAATAACAGGCTTTCCGATTGTCCCAGGTTGCACGGCTCTGATAGGTGGACAAGGTGTCATTATGACCGTGCTCATAGATGGAGGAGCGGTTGCAATGAGTGTGTCTGGACTGGCATTGTTTGCACCACCGATTGGTGGAACCATTGCAACCGGAAGTTTCTGCATCCGTGATATCGTGCTGCTCATGTGTGGTACCATAGGCAAATGCCTTGGAATCACAGCTTTTGATGGTGGTACGACTGGTGCCACTTGGTTTTCGGATAGTCTTCCTGGCAAGAGCACTGGAGAAGTTGTGCTTAGTAAACCTCCTTGGGAAAGAGAGGTTTCTTTGGGACACCCGGTCGTACCTTGTGATGCTGTAATTGAGACATTGGAGGTTTGAAAGATAGGAAGTCTCACAATGTCTGAAGATACACCAGGACACAGAGCTTGTGCTACTTGTGAGAGAGCAGTAGGACCAGACACATTCAATGGAGTTCTGGTGCTCAGTTGCTGACGGAGTTGATCAGAAGGTCCAACTTTTGCCAAGGGTAGCCTGACCGGTGTTACCAATCTCACACCTTGTACAACTGAAGGAACCGTGTGAGTAACTGAAGTGTTTGGACCTCTAGAAACAGTGGAAGCAGGACTTGGGACTTGCAATCCTCCAGGACTGGCAAGACTTGGCCCTTGCAATCCTCGACGACCAGTAGGATTTGGCCCTTGCAATCTTTTAGGACTAGCTGGACTTGGCCCTTGCAATCTTTGAGGACCAGAAGGACTTGGCCCTTGCGATCTTTGAGGACCAGCAGGTCTTGGCCCTTGCAGTCCTCCAGGAGTAGCAGAACTTGGCCCTTGCAATCCTCCAGGATTAGCTGGACTTGGCCTTTGCAATCTTTGAGGACCAGCAGAACTTGGACCTTGCAATCTTTGAGAACCAACAGGATTTGATCCTAGCAAACTTTGAGGACCAGCAGCACTTGGCGCTTGCAATCTCTGAGGACCAGCAGGGCTTGGCGCTTGCAATCTTTGAGGACCAGCAGGACTTGGCCCTTGCAATCTTTGAGAACCATCAATACTTGACCCTTGCATTCCTCCAGGACAAGAGTTGGAGATAAGCACAACATGGCTGCCAGGTGCAAGGCCTTGAGAAGGTACAACAAATCTGGTGTTATTGATCAGGAGCTGAGTTCCAGGGGCAAGTGGGGCAGTGGTGTTGATCACGATTTTCTCCTGAACACTCTTGGTTGTAGAGGTCAGAGGTTGGATCCCAGAGGACATGACCACCGGAGGAGTTAAAGTGGAGCTGCAACTCAATGCAAAAGTACTGGATACTGCAGAAGCGGAAGTATTGGCTGTTGTTTTGATCAGTGAGTGTGAAGTGCAAAGGGATGTGATCACTGGCTTGTTAGCAGTCACATTAATTGGTAACGTAGTGTGTTTGGTAATTAGGCTTCCTGAATAAGAGGAAGATGTATTAGAAGTAGAGCTGCCAGCCGATAACCCTGTTTTACAGTGAAGAGCATTTAACGCTGAAACTGATGGAGGTACATCTGGTTTCATAACTGACAAAAGTGCAGAGGAAGCCATGTGGCCGGTGCCTAGAGTTGAAAACGTGAACGTTTTGCCGTCAACAGTCCGAGGTACTTTCGAAGCACTGTCGGTATTCCCTGACAGACTTCTGCTTGCAACCAAACAGCTTTTTGGACCAATCTGGAGTCCACTTGTGGTTGATGTTGCAGGTACTCTGGAGACGATCACAGGTGTAGTTTTCATTGAAGCTTCAGGTTTCTTGTTTGTGCCAAGTATTCTTGATGTTAACCCTGGGACACCGATGCTCTGGATGCTTGTACCTGAAGAAGTGCAGGATAAGATCCCAAAGTTGGGAACTACTTTCAATGCTGGTGTACTAGTAGAGGAAATGTTAACTTCTGAAGTTGACGTCTCTTTTGGAATGGTAAGTGCTGAGTTGCTTATGAACATGACCCGAGATCCTGGAACGGTACAGGTTGCTGTAGTAGTAGTAGTGACCTTTGAAGGGATATTTGGTGAAGGTGTGACCAGAAAAACCTTTTGGAAAGTCGATTGGTCTGGAGTTGTGCTTCCTGGTGGAGCCCTTTTTTGTGGGGGCTTCGTTCCACATTTAGAGACCGTATTCTGCTGAGCGCAATCTTTCGCATTTATTAGGAAATGATCACTGCCTTTGCTTGTAGCCAGGAGTGCGGATTTACCAGGGATTGTTGTTTTGCCTGTAGTGCCGTTATTGGAAATCTGATTTAAGGTTAAAGGAGTGACAGTTCCTGCCACAAAAGTAGACTGAGGAGTGACTCCAGGTAGAGATTTAGCAGCAATGGTGGCCGAAACAGCTTGTGTATTAGACGTGGAAGACTTTGACACCAGAAAGGCATGAAGTTGGGGCGAGATGTTAAAAACTGGGCTGGGTGGCAAAGCCCCCGTTCCACTTTCTGATGTCTGAACCTTCACCACTCCTGTGTTGCCTCCTCTAGTAGTGACAAGGATGGACTGAGAGTCTCTAATACACACTGTCCTGAGCTCCTGTTTAGCATCAGATTTGGTCAGACCACTGCTGGCTGATTTGTTCAGGGCCACCTTTGGTTCAGTAGTCTTTTTAGGCACACCAACAGTCGTTATGTTCCTTAAACTGGGAGTAACTACAGCAGACGGTGTTCTTACAGCGCTGGTATCTTTCAAAGGTGCCACCGGCTGGACAGGAACCTTGTTTTCCGGTATAGTGAACCCTGAAACATTGGACATGTACGTTGTAGTCTTAGGGACAGATACAGAGGTTTGGGCTGCCTTATTCCCAGTGCTTTGAATCAGTAGATTTGAAGGCAGGATAACAACTTGTTGCATCGCCTTCGCTCCTGATTTTTGATTTGATATTGATTGCGCTGAAAAGTTTACAGAAGTGCTTCCTTGCCTGAGAAGCCCCACGCCTCCTGCCGTCTTGTACACCACCTGTCCAGTGCTTTCGGTCGCAGATGTCATAGTTATTGTTTCTGTAGAGACAGGTTCAGAGTGTTGCGTAGATGCACAGGTAGTTGATAATCGGACAGGTGGCAGAGTTACAGATGCTGTTTTGTTATGATCCCGCAGAACCTGAGCCATCATTGCAGCCTTCGGATGACTTATTAAGGTCACTTTGTTTCCAACACTCTTAGCCAGCAAAGCCTGGATGGGTTTGCAAGTCCCCTGAAAGCTACTTAAAGGCTCAGGCAACACTGAAGCTTGTGAAGCTTCTCTGGATGCAACTTCCACATTAAAGTCAGATATCAAAGAGCTCTCTGGGTCCATTTTGCCTCTCTTGCATTGACTCAGTTCCTCACTGATTGCACCAGTTTGGCGCCGCTTTGAACTGCGTGTAAAGGGTCCAGACTCTGACGAATACATGACAACATCAGGTCGGTCAACTAGGCATCTTGATTCGTGATTTACATTCTCTGCAAAAGAGGGCAGCATGCATCAGTCAAAACAAACATCACAAAAATGTACTGAATGCATAAATGTCTTTGAATTTGGAAAATGGAAAACAGAAGTTGATGAACTGAAACATAAAGTGCTGCTTAAACAACAAAAGCAAGAATATTTGAAACACTTCCTTGTAATAAATTCATCAGGCACTTTCTATCACAAATACTTTCATACTGTTTGGTTAGTTATGCATTAAAAATTCAACAATCCTTTAGGGCCTGTATTGTTTTGCTTCTCTTTGCATTGCCAAGAACTTACATAAAGGCCATGCATTTGGTAAAATTAGCCGTTTCAAATGTTAATCAGACTCACCTGTTGTCTCAGAATCTTCCTTCATAGTTTTGCCCATTTTGACTTCACTCTCTTCCAGTTTGTTTGTTTTCTCTGCGGACAACAATTCATCTTTGCATGCAACTTCCCCAGTATCTTCTGTATCCATCTGCTCCCTGATAAAGTTCTCATATTCGGGGTGTTTTTTGAATTCGTCACACTCCTTTTTCAAGCGCGCTCTGTTGAGGACAAGGACAGGGATGAATTCACAAAGCCCTGTTGCCAGGAAAACATCGCCTCAAGGTAGAAAAGAAAAAAACGAAAACATCTAGGTGCCTGTTGAATGCAGCGAGGTGTATCAGTCACTGCGCATTACAATGGAAAGCTCTTTCTTGGATATAATTCAAATTCACCTCCCAGATCGCTTGAGAAAACCTTTCTTTGATCAAAAACAATACTGAAATGCAGAAGTCTGAAAAACCACAATGTCAAGATTCTCAAAGGGGAAAAATATGATTGCACAGATTTAAGATTTCCCATCTATATTCAGCATGTGATTTCAGTGCAACAAGGTAAAATGATTTCGCTTTCAAACATTCCCTTTTGAAATTAAATGAAAGCACCAAGGAGGTTCATGTTTACTCCTTTACCTGTTCCTCTGGAAGGCCTTGACGAGTTTGGGTTCCCATGGTAACAGCTCATTAAGCAGCCTTATAAGTGTGATGTGCAACTCTTTCACGGCGGCTCTTTTATGGGGCCATCGTCCCTGAAATACGGCACAAAGAGACACATCACATACACATCAGTCTTTAACGCTGGCATGCATCAAACACTAACTCATACTCGTCAAATTCATATCATGCTTGCATGCAAACAAACATGTTAGGCCACACTGAATTTGTTTATTTCACATTAAAATGCTAATTTTGGTTCAATAAAGTGATAATATCCGCACAGTTCAGGATATGCATTAAATGCATTGAAATTATTTATGCAACCAAAAATAAATGGTTTTTATTTAGTTGCATCAATTGCATGTGCACAATATAAGTCAAAGGTAAAATACTGTCATATAAATTAGTTTGTTCAATAGTAAATGCATGTGTTTGTGTTCCCTCTCTTACTAACAGATCTCTTTTTGCCGTCCAGTTCATCTAGTTGATCTTCTATTTTACTGATTAGGACTCTGAGATCATCCAGACTGGAGCAAACCAACTACAAAAGCAAGAAAGAAAGCAAGGAGAGATGGGAGAAAGAAATAAGGGTTAAAAAACTTTTAATTATATATATTCGTTTTTAATTGCATGCATTGCAATAATTGAATTTATACTGTAAAGCACTTTGGTTCAACTTAAATGTGTTCAAAATAAATAAAGGCTGAGTTGATTATATGTTTAAATGAGTGTGGTTTTAATTATTCAGACATTATAATACATTCTACTAAATGCTGCCCTCTAGTGAAGGTCTAGTGAACAAATCTCAGGCGACATGTTTCCAGACGCATTATGGGATTCTTGGCTCTCTATTGACGTCTGGAACATTTAAATTTACTTCTTTACTTATAAAAGCATTTTTAATTGCATGCATTGCAATAATTGAATTTATACTGTAAAGCACTTTGGTTCAACTTAAATGTGTTCAAAATAAATAAAGGCTGAGTTGATTATATGTTTAAATGAGTGTGGTTTTAATTATTCAGACATTATAATACATTCTACTAAATGCTGCCCTCTAGTGAAGGTCTAGTGAACAAATCTCAGGCGACATGTTTCCAGATGCATTATGGGATTCTTGGCTCTCTATTGACGTCTGGAACATTTAAATTTACTTATTTACTTATAAAAGCATCTGCTAAATGAGTAAAAGTAAATGCAAATCATCTGTGAAATGCAAAGCACAAATGCTTAATCGTTTGAAAATAAGACTGAGATCAATAAAAAGGATTTTCAAATGAGAGAATTTTGAAAGCAAAACTAACCAACCTAATATTGAAAGTGGTGAGAAAAAGTGTCTGATGAGTTTATTACAAGGAATTCCATTCACGTATTTAATTATTGCAATTAACTTGTGTAAGAATGTTGTACTAGTATTCTAAATTAAAATCAACAAAAAAAAAAAAAGTAAATGAAGCATAAAATATAAATAGCATGGAAATAAAATAGTAACAAATAAAATAAAAATGTGTAAATAAAATAATAATGTAAATTAAAAAATATAAAATAAAATAATGAAGTGTAAGCAATACAAATAAAATCAATAATAATAAGTGAAGTATAAATAAAATAAATAATTACAAATACAATAAATAATAATGAATGAAGTGTAAAAAATATATATTTTTTTTTATAATATTATAAGTGATATTATAATATTATAAGTGAAATATAAATATCACTGATATTAAGAAGAAAGCCTATAGTAGGTTTACCATGAAGGCAAGAATACATTTTTTTTACATATTAAAACTCGAAATTAAACATAAAAAGCTTGCATTAGTGTAGTTTTAAGCTGACAATTCACAAAGTTGACATTTGCTTTTTGTTGATCTCAGTCTTTTAAATGCTTTATAATGTTTTGCATTTCACACATGACTTGTATTAACTTTACCTGGTTTAGCAGACACTTTTATCCAAACTGACTCTCAAATGAAGAACATTGTGAGCTTTTTTAATCGTAAGGGCGATGCACAGAGTGTTTTTTATTTGCAGGTAATGAAGTCTTCATCTGACCTGAAACGTGGGTTCAGCTGCCGGCGGAGCAGATCCTAACCTCGCCTTCCCATCAAACCTCTTTCCTGGAGACGGAGAAACACGAGAGCAAAGGCACATGACATCTGATAATTCAGAATAAAATCGGGTATATGTGTGTGCATGTGTGTGTGTGCGTGTGTGCGTGTGTGTGCGTGTGAGTGTGTGTGTGTGAGTGTGAGTGCGTGTGTGTCTGTGTGTGAGTGTGTGAGTGTGCATGTGAGAGTGTGTGTGTCTGTGTGCGTGTGAGAGTGTGAATATGTGTGTGTGCGTGTGTGTCTGTGTGAGAGTGAGAGTGTGTGCCTGTGAGTGTGTCTGTGTGAGAGTGAGAGTGTGTGCCTGTGAGTGTGTCTGTGTGAGAGTGAGAGTGTGTGCCTGTGAGTGTGTCTGTGTGAGAGTGAGAGTGTGTGCCTGTGAGTGTGTCTGTGTGAGAGTGAGAGTGTGTGCCTGTGAGTGTGTCTGTGTGAGAGTGAGAGTGTGTGCCTGTGAGTGTGTCTGTGTGAGAGTGAGAGTGTGTGCCTGTGAGTGTGTCTGTGTGAGAGTGAGAGTGTGTGCCTGTGAGTGTGTCTGTGTGAGAGTGAGAGTGTGTGCCTGTGAGTGTGTCTGTGTGAGAGTGAGAGTGTGTGCCTGTGAGTGTGTCTGTGTGAGAGTGAGAGTGTGTGCCTGTGAGTGTGTCTGTGTGAGAGTGAGAGTGTGTGCCTGTGAGTGTGTCTGTGTGAGAGTGAGAGTGTGTGCCTGTGAGTGTGTCTGTGTGAGAGTGAGAGTGTGTGCCTGTGAGTGTGTCTGTGTGAGAGTGAGAGTGTGTGCCTGTGAGTGTGTCTGTGTGAGAGTGAGAGTGTGTGCCTGTGAGTGTGTCTGTGTGAGAGTGAGAGTGTGTGCCTGTGAGTGTGTCTGTGTGAGAGTGAGAGTGTGTGCCTGTGAGTGTGTCTGTGTGAGAGTGAGAGTGTGTGCCTGTGAGTGTGTCTGTGTGAGAGTGAGAGTGTGTGCCTGTGAGTGTGTCTGTGTGAGAGTGAGAGTGTGTGCCTGTGAGTGTGTCTGTGTGAGAGTGAGAGTGTGTGCCTGTGAGTGTGTCTGTGTGAGAGTGAGAGTGTGTGCCTGTGAGTGTGTCTGTGTGAGAGTGAGAGTGTGTGCCTGTGAGTGTGTCTGTGTGAGAGTGAGAGTGTGTGCCTGTGAGTGTGTCTGTGTGAGAGTGAGAGTGTGTGCCTGTGAGTGTGTCTGTGTGAGAGTGAGAGTGTGTGCCTGTGAGTGTGTCTGTGTGAGAGTGAGAGTGTGTGCCTGTGAGTGTGTCTGTGTGAGAGTGAGAGTGTGTGCCTGTGAGTGTGTCTGTGTGAGAGTGAGAGTGTGTGCCTGTGAGTGTGTCTGTGTGAGAGTGAGAGTGTGTGCCTGTGAGTGTGTCTGTGTGAGAGTGAGAGTGTGTGCCTGTGAGTGTGTCTGTGTGAGAGTGAGAGTGTGTGCCTGTGAGTGTGTCTGTGTGAGAGTGAGAGTGTGTGCCTGTGAGTGTGTCTGTGTGAGAGTGAGAGTGTGTGCCTGTGAGTGTGTCTGTGTGAGAGTGAGAGTGTGTGCCTGTGAGTGTGTCTGTGTGAGAGTGAGAGTGTGTGCCTGTGAGTGTGTCTGTGTGAGAGTGAGAGTGTGTGCCTGTGAGTGTGTCTGTGTGAGAGTGAGAGTGTGTGCCTGTGAGTGTGTCTGTGTGAGAGTGAGAGTGTGTGCCTGTGAGTGTGTCTGTGTGAGAGTGAGAGTGTGTGCCTGTGAGTGTGTCTGTGTGAGAGTGAGAGTGTGTGCCTGTGAGTGTGTCTGTGTGAGAGTGAGAGTGTGTGCCTGTGAGTGTGTCTGTGTGAGAGTGAGAGTGTGTGCCTGTGAGTGTGTCTGTGTGAGAGTGAGAGTGTGTGCCTGTGAGTGTGTCTGTGTGAGAGTGAGAGTGTGTGCCTGTGAGTGTGTCTGTGTGAGAGTGAGAGTGTGTGCCTGTGAGTGTGTCTGTGTGAGAGTGAGAGTGTGTGCCTGTGAGTGTGTCTGTGTGAGAGTGAGAGTGTGTGCCTGTGAGTGTGTCTGTGTGAGAGTGAGAGTGTGTGCCTGTGAGTGTGTCTGTGTGAGAGTGAGAGTGTGTGCCTGTGAGTGTGTCTGTGTGAGAGTGAGAGTGTGTGCCTGTGAGTGTGTCTGTGTGAGAGTGAGAGTGTGTGCCTGTGAGTGTGTCTGTGTGAGAGTGAGAGTGTGTGCCTGTGAGTGTGTCTGTGTGAGAGTGAGAGTGTGTGCCTGTGAGTGTGTCTGTGTGAGAGTGAGAGTGTGTGCCTGTGAGTGTGTCTGTGTGAGAGTGAGAGTGTGTGCCTGTGAGTGTGTCTGTGTGAGAGTGAGAGTGTGTGCCTGTGAGTGTGTCTGTGTGAGAGTGAGAGTGTGTGCCTGTGAGTGTGTCTGTGTGAGAGTGAGAGTGTGTGCCTGTGAGTGTGTCTGTGTGAGAGTGAGAGTGTGTGCCTGTGAGTGTGTCTGTGTGAGAGTGAGAGTGTGTGCCTGTGAGTGTGTCTGTGTGAGAGTGAGAGTGTGTGCCTGTGAGTGTGTCTGTGTGAGAGTGAGAGTGTGTGCCTGTGAGTGTGTCTGTGTGAGAGTGAGAGTGTGTGCCTGTGAGTGTGTCTGTGTGAGAGTGAGAGTGTGTGCCTGTGAGTGTGTCTGTGTGAGAGTGAGAGTGTGTGCCTGTGAGTGTGTCTGTGTGAGAGTGAGAGTGTGTGCCTGTGAGTGTGTCTGTGTGAGAGTGAGAGTGTGTGCCTGTGAGTGTGTCTGTGTGAGAGTGAGAGTGTGTGCCTGTGAGTGTGTCTGTGTGAGAGTGAGAGTGTGTGCCTGTGAGTGTGTCTGTGTGAGAGTGAGAGTGTGTGCCTGTGAGTGTGTCTGTGTGAGAGTGAGAGTGTGTGCCTGTGAGTGTGTCTGTGTGAGAGTGAGAGTGTGTGCCTGTGAGTGTGTCTGTGTGAGAGTGAGAGTGTGTGCCTGTGAGTGTGTCTGTGTGAGAGTGAGAGTGTGTGCCTGTGAGTGTGTCTGTGTGAGAGTGAGAGTGTGTGCCTGTGAGTGTGTCTGTGTGAGAGTGAGAGTGTGTGCCTGTGAGTGTGTCTGTGTGAGAGTGAGAGTGTGTGCCTGTGAGTGTGTCTGTGTGAGAGTGAGAGTGTGTGCCTGTGAGTGTGTCTGTGTGAGAGTGAGAGTGTGTGCCTGTGAGTGTGTCTGTGTGAGAGTGAGAGTGTGTGCCTGTGAGTGTGTCTGTGTGAGAGTGAGAGTGTGTGCCTGTGAGTGTGTCTGTGTGAGAGTGAGAGTGTGTGCCTGTGAGTGTGTCTGTGTGAGAGTGAGAGTGTGTGCCTGTGAGTGTGTCTGTGTGAGAGTGAGAGTGTGTGCCTGTGAGTGTGTCTGTGTGAGAGTGAGAGTGTGTGCCTGTGAGTGTGTCTGTGTGAGAGTGAGAGTGTGTGCCTGTGAGTGTGTCTGTGTGAGAGTGAGAGTGTGTGCCTGTGAGTGTGTCTGTGTGAGAGTGAGAGTGTGTGCCTGTGAGTGTGTCTGTGTGAGAGTGAGAGTGTGTGCCTGTGAGTGTGTCTGTGTGAGAGTGAGAGTGTGTGCCTGTGAGTGTGTCTGTGTGAGAGTGAGAGTGTGTGCCTGTGAGTGTGTCTGTGTGAGAGTGAGAGTGTGTGCCTGTGAGTGTGTCTGTGTGAGAGTGAGAGTGTGTGCCTGTGAGTGTGTCTGTGTGAGAGTGAGAGTGTGTGCCTGTGAGTGTGTCTGTGTGAGAGTGAGAGTGTGTGCGTGCGTGCGTGTGTGTGAGTGAGAGAGTGAGTGAGTGAGTGAGTGAGTGAGTGAGTGAGTGTGTGTGTTCCCGTCATCAATTTTATTTGTTATACAGTACATGGAAATCAAGTCAAGTTCCAAAATGACTATAAACAGATAAAAAAAAAAAATAATAATAATAATACATTCTATTTGATTAAATGGTTTCAGAATGTGTGCCATTTACTCAGAATATGGAGCAATTTTATGCTACTTGCATGTTAATTTTATGATTCTTTTGCATAATTTTTTGATGACATGAGGGTGAGTAAATGATGACAGAATGATCATTTTTGAGTGATCAGGTTTCAGACACTCAGTAGCAAGTGTTTAATCCTCACCCAGTTTGTGTCTCTTCCTCTTGTCTTTCTTCTTGATGTTTTTGGCGGCTCTCTGCAGGCTGCTTCTAGCCGTTCGGTTCTTCAAGCTCAGTTTGCTCGTCTTCGTTTTCTTCATGCCGACCTTCCTCTCTTTCTTCTTCTTCCTCTTCTTCTTCTGGGCTCGTGTCGGTCCGGATTCGTCCCGTCGCAGGCGTGTGTTTCCAGTCCAGAAACGCGGAGATTCCTGCGACGCTCCGGAACAATCCGGACAGGGGCTTCGTTCCTCGGCGCTCAAGTGATTCGCATCGTTTCTAGGACTTCTGTGACTGTTCAGAGCCGGCGAGACGCCTTTATAGCAGCTGTCTCCGACTCTGAAACACGGCTCGCAGTCAGACTCCTCGTCTTCGAGCCGCCTGTCCTCCGTCAACTGTCCTCGGACGCTCACAGAGTCCAGAGAATCTTCTCTGCACCACGAGGGAACGCCGGAGGAGCATTTCTGATCCAGATCCTCTCCGTCAGCGAGTGAATCTTCCTTCATGTCCCATGTGTTCCTGCTGGAGCTTTCCTCCTCCACCTTTACTTCATCTGCAGACACACAGATCCTTCTCAAATTCATCTGCAAACTCCATGAGATTTACTGGCATGAGTAGCATAGTGTAGCCAAAGCATTAAGCAATAAACATCTAACATGCATGTATAAATGTGTAGATAAAACCTATAATAAAGTTTAAAATAATTATAAATAAAACAATAGTACTGTAAATAAAATAAATAATTAAAAAATAATAAATAATGAAGAATAAATCAACAATAAAGTGTAAAAAATAAAATATAAATCAAATTAAATCTAAATGAAATAATTAAAAATAAAATAAGTGATATATAAATAAAATTTATAATTAAAAAATAACATAAATGATATAAATACATTAATAAATAATGGTAAATAATATAAATTGTTAAAGTAAAATAAAAAATATAAATAAGATGATTAAAGTTAATAATAATAGTGTAAATTAAATAATTAAAAATATGAAATAATTAAAAATAAAATAAATAATAGTAAATAATACAAATGGTTAGGAATAAAATACAAATAAATTAAATACAAATAAAATTGATTATAATCAATAATAATAGTGTACATTAAAATAAAAAAAATAAATTAAGTATAAATAAAACAATTAAAAAGTGAATAATAAATTAAATTAAAAAATAAATAATAAATCAAGTATAAAAAGTGAAGAGTAAATAAAAAACAATACAGTGTAAATACAAATTTAAAAAATAGCAAATGACGTATAAAAAAGAAAAATAAAATAAATAAAAAATTAAGTGTAAATAAAATAAATAGTTAAATTCAAATCAATAATAATAAAGTGTAATTAAAATAATTAAAAATAACAAATAATAAATAAAAGGTAAATAAAATAAATAATATAAAATAAAATTAATGATAAGTAAAGTATAAATACAATTCTTACAAATAAAATCAACAATAAGACGAAGTGTAAATAAAAATAAAATGAAATGTAAATAAAGTAAATAACCAATAACAAATGATAGGTAAATTAAAAAAATGAAAATACAATACACAGTAAATAAATAATTGTAATGATAACACGACCCACATGTCTGGTCCCTGAGCTCTGCCTCCTCTGGTTCCTGGGATCTCTGGATGTGGATCCGTGGCAGCGGTGGCTCCGCGGCTCCGCAGGGACTCTGGCTGTAGATCCGCAGGTCAGCGCCGCAGAAGTGTGGGAAGTGAATGTATGTGTTGTCCTGCTGGTCGTAGCCCAGGATGGACTCGCGGCACTCGTGGATGGGCTGCGCGAGCACAGCTTCCTGCACCTCCTTCTGCGTCTCGTACACGTGATCACAGAGGCCCTTGAGGAGCCAGACGCGCTGCTGGAAGGGCAGCAGGTGGAAGGGTGTCTCCTCCAGAGGACTGACCGCTCCCAGAGTCCAGAAGAACTGAGGACAGAGCCCGAGGCGTTGCGCACGCGCCGCCTGAAAACAACATCAGCATAATTAGGTATAGTATTTGTGTCCCTGGAGCACAAAAGCAGTGTTAAGTATATTTGTAGCAATAGCCAACAATACATTGTATGGGTCAAAATTATCCATTATGTTAAAAGCTCTATATGTTAAAAGCTCTATATGTTAAAAGAGCTGTATGTTATAAGCGCTGTATGTTATAAGCGCTATATGTTAAAAGTGCAATATGTTAAAAGCGTTATATGTTAAAAGCACTATACGTTATAAGCACTATACGTTATAAGCGCTATATGTTAAAAGCGTTATATGTTAAAAGTACTATACGTTATAAGCACTATACGTTATAAGCGCTATACGTTAAAAGCGCTATATGTTAAAAGCGCTATATGTTAAAAGCTCTATATGTTAAAAGAGCTGTATGTTAAAAGCGCTATATGTTAAAAGCGCTATATGTTAAAAGCGCTGTATGTTAAAAGCGCTATATGTTATAAGCACTATATGTTAAAAGCACTATATGTTAGAAGCAATATATGTTAAAAGCGCTATATGTTATAAGCACCATATGTTAAAAGCGCTGTAGGTTAAAAGCACTATATGTTAAAAGCACTATATGTTATAAGCACTATATTTTAAAAGCGCTGTATGTTAAAAGCGCT